CCCGTAACACATACATCTATAATTCCTCTCATAATTCATTTATACAGTTTAAGTTCGCACTTAAACTGTGTACAACGATTAATAACGATGAGGTCTTGGTTATAAAGGACTTCAAATGTCTAATATTCTGTATTATATATATATATATATATTATGGCCTATATAAGTAATAATGTATTCAGGGTCACGTGTTGATTGTCTAATGGTTATAGTCGTTATACATATATATACCTACTTTAAACTATACGCAAACGTTTAATCGAATTATTATTGATAGTTTATAATTCATCTGTTGAATATGAATACGATAGTGTATTTACTAGACTGAAATCAACAAAATATATATTTATTTTTTAATGAACTTAATCTACTTAATTGCATTATTATATTGAAAAAAAAGTAATAAAGATATAGGGTGTTGCATGATAAATGTGTCAAACTTCTAGAGGTATTCTACACCTCAAATGGAACAAAAAAAGTCCTTATGACCAATGCCTTAAAAATAACTGTTGTTAGATAAAACTGTAATTTTTTAAAATTTCGACATTTTAAAGTTATAAAAAATTTGTGTCATTCTTAATACCCAAAAATCAGGTGGGAACCTTGTAAGAAATGTTTTCCTAATCCCAATTTTATGAGCTTTTCATCAATGTATTCAAATTAATTGTATTACCTACGGTTTAGCAGATATGAACATTATTATTTATTATGAATCAAACTTGCGTTTAACCAAAAAAACACAAACATAGAAATTATCACCCTTATTATTGATAATTTGATGATGGTTGTAAGAACTTTTTTGTTCCATTTGATGTGTAGAATTACCTCTAGAAGTTTGACACATTTATCGTGCAATACTCTGTATAAATAAAGACACAGACATAAAACCGTGATTAATAAAAATGGTATTTGTCGGACCAAATCAACAATCGTTATTTAAATTTAGCTCTAGATAATTCGGTTTGTTTTGACATTTCCCGATTCTCCATAATCTCACTAAAATTTAGTGATAATTATCATCTGGCAAATTATTTACCTAAATACACATTGCGGAATCAGCCAACATAAATATCAAATATTTTTGTTAGAAATGGGTCAAGAGCTTTAAAGCAGCACCTGGAACAACATGTTCGTAATTTTGAAATTCGACATAAACACTATACAAGTTTTCAATAAGATATTATCTTTGGAGCAGCGTTTACCAAAGTTATTGTTGGACTTCCTAGAACATCATTTAAGCCAGGTTAATTTTGAAATGTACAATTCTGGTGTAGGTACTTAGTACTTACCCCACGTCATGTCACGAACAAATACTACTACAGGTTTACTGGGAATAAATGTTTCGACAATTTAGTTTGACCATTACCACCTACTTCTGAGTCAAGTTGATAAAAATAAAATACCATGGCTATGTTTCTTTTATTTTCATTGTTTCGTAGCTTACAATTGTTCACCTCTTCACTTCCTATGGCTCTAAGTATTTCACGTACGTGCCTTTAGTGAAAAATGGTTATCAAAAGAATTAACATAGATTACGTCATATATGGTATGGTTATCCGCGATTTATGTTTCCCAGAGTTTACCATTGCCGCATTGCAGAAGTCTTGATCAGTGTAAAGTGGTCACTATAATAGGTCTACGTATATTAAAGTTGGCAATATGCCTTAGTTGTAAATAAAAATGCTATGATTCAAATATGTAAATATGATAATATATTTTAATATAATATAAATCATAAATCTATGACATCAGAAATATTTGATGCATAGTAGACATAATCCTAAATTGCAGCATAATATGGAGAAATATAACACATAATTTTGTGTAGGGGTGAAGAGCCGGAAAAGTTGAGGTGTGGGGCCAGTTGGTTATTTGGTTTTAAAATGTATTAATTTAGTGACTAATCTCTAAAATGTAAAGAAATATATTGATGTTTAGATGAAAATTACCTTTATCAATAAAAATGATTATCTATTAGCCTATATATATATATGTGTGTAATAGTTTGTCTGTTTATTGCATTATACAAATATAATGTGAAGGCCGTAAACAATAAGCGTCTACAGTTCTCCAAAAGACTAAGTAAAAAAAGTATGATCGTATTGTTAGTTGAATAGTATATCTACATAGGTACTATAGTTATTTAAAAATGTTTATTTGAGATTTACAAAATGTCATTCAACATAACTCAGTAATCAACTATTGCCCACCCCCCCCCCTCACCATCTAAATTATTTACAAAGCTACATAAATGAAGAAACCAATAAATTACCATTTGATTATATAGATTTAATCTATACCCTGTTCAAAATAAGAAGCGACCTGATTTACGCTTGAAAACCGGTTTTACTAGTGGCCGCCTGAATCGCTTCTTAAAATGAACAGACTATAGGTACCTATGCCAAAAACGAGTGTCTGTAAACAAAAACCCAGCTTTTTTTACCCAAACTGGCTGTAGCTGCAGGATCATCATCGAAACCTAGTCTGCAACTTGCCCCCGTGCACGATACGTATACTACAACGTGCATCTTGTACCAAATTACGCGATGCGAATAATATTATGTGAATTCGAATAAACTGCGGCGAGTGTGTGTTTGGGGAAAGGGGAGGGTGAAAAGTCTCTACCGATTTTGGAAACAGTGTTATTCCATTATATTATAATTTCAGAGCATTTTTCCTCGATCCCGACACCGCGTCCGCGTGCGTGTAACGTTCACCGCCGCGGTCGTTATACACTGCTGCAACGACCCCAGAGGAAATCAATTTTACGAAACACCCTCGGCAAGCGAGTAGTACGTACGTACACGCACACGTATATAGTCGAAATACGCGTATTGTAGTTTTCTACAACTATTACTCCACCGCTGGTGCCTCGGCACGCGGTGTTGGTTTTTCGACAACCCTCCGTATAGAGCACACACACACACACACACACACACCAAAGCCGCACAGTCGTGTGTACATACATTAACCCCGTGCGTCGTCGCGACCGGGTGTATGAAACTACTACAACTATATAATAATATATAGGTACCCGGGGGGGTCAAGGTCGGCGACGACGGTAACCGTACGTGACCACAATGTAGTAATATATACACATCACGGTATATACTCACTGCGATATGCGTTGTACATGCGAACTGCAACAACGACGACGACGACGACGACGACGGTATAGGACACGAAGAAGAAAAATGTATATAAATATTAAATAAAAACGAAATCGATAATTCTACATAGGTATAGACGGATTACATGTATTTACACGCGCGCACATGGCGGTGCAGTGTTGTATAAAGGTGGCGTTACACCTCTTATACATCGTGTCGTCCATAATTTAATAACACGTCTCAGTGTTTTAATTGGCGCTGGGGTAATATTTTTAATATACCACGTTACCTGCAGCACGTTCTACGTTGAAAAATATTAAAGCTTGCTGACGTCTGGTTACGGATGGTCAAACGGTTATCATTTAATGTTACTGATAAAACGTGTAAAATATGAAAGTTTACACTGGCTAACCTGTGTAACCTATACAGGTTCTTAATATTATGCCTACCAAATATAACGATAATCAAAATATATAAACAACACAACACATTATGGAAGACACGATTTAGTGTAAACGCACCTCTATTATTTATACTTACTGCAATTGTTAATATACTGCGACCGTGTTGGTGGTATACGGGAAGCGTGGTGTACACGATGGATCGAAATATTGGATTAAAAGCTCGAGGTGACAGGATTTGGCTTACGGTAAATAAATAAATCCGAATCGGGTTTGACGGGTTGTATTTAAATGATTAGGTTTCCAGTGTAATATTGCTACCCCGGTTATATTATACATACACGGTGTCAAATCAGCAGGACTTAAAGAAAAAATGATCAGCGTGCCGTGTTGTCTATACAATGTAATAATGGATATAACAAACAATAGGCATATGCGTACCTCCATGCGTGTCGATACAATATTAGTGGATTAATTATTTTGTTGCTTTCATTGAATTAGTTTTTCTTTTTTACAGCTAGGGCTATATTACATATTGCATTAAAATATTACAGTTCAGTTCACATTAAAATATTTACACAAGATAATAATATGGATGAATTAATTTATCTAAATGGTTTCGGTGAAGTTATACGTCAGGAATGGGTCTTTAGTAAGTATATAGGTTTTTACTTTTTTTAGTGATCAAACGCTATTTTTTATTCAGTACACTATATAATATTATGTCATGAATTTAACATTTAGACCACGAAGGCAACGGCAGTGAAAAAGTTGAAGCCAAGTCGAAAATTGAAAGGAAACTTTAGTATAAATCATTTTTATTTCTATAAAAATACTAAATACCAGCTACCTATTTAATTTATATTATAATACTATGTAGAGTTATTATTACACAGTACCTATCCCATTTTAAATTTGTATCCCGTGAGTAGATCCAATTAAGCTGTGGAATATAAGTAATTTATAATTTAAGCATTAGTTCTATTCTACTTTATGGTTAGATTAACAAACGATAGAGGGACCAAACTCATGCTATCCTCAATTCAGAACACGGTCTATAGGACCAATGGCTTTTACACGTGACCCTATTCAATGTTCCCTCACTAAAAATGTTCTCCGAATAAGGTTCATTGACCATATTGTATAGTATTTAATTTATATCCAGTATACATATCAAAATCGTACCTACTTAAATAAATAAATTATCAATATTCGGTAAATATAATTATAATAATTAAATAAGATAAAAAAAATTTTCCGTTTATATACTTGTAGGTAAGTAAGACATACAAATGTTTATTTATAAAAAAAAAAAACACCAAATACAATATATAATATCTTCAATTTCGTATTGTAGGTAGGTATGAATTTTTTGGTTCTACGACAAAATATCTCCATTAAAAATATCTCCATCAAAATGATCTCCAATACAAAATATCTCCTGATTTATGCCATAGCTATCTAAATTTAGCCTAAATTTCAAGTCAGTATGTGGAATGGCTATGAGAGAGTTTTGAAAAATAAACCTCGGAAAAACAACTCAGTTGAAGGCTGGCACCATGCATTTAATTCAGCATTAGGAACAAATCACGTTACCATTTGGAAGTTTATCACATTTTTAAAGCAGGAACAAGCTTTACAAGAGGTATTGTATAATACAAATTTAAAATATTGAATAAAATAAATTATATTAAAAATTGAATGTATATTTTACAGGTTCGGTTAGAAAATTTAATTTCTGGAGAGCCTAGTCCAAAAAAAAAAAATATATAAGAACCACGATGAAATGATATTGAACGTAATGAAAAAATTCAATGAAACTCTAGCCGTTCTTTACTTAAGAGGAATTGCTCAAAACATAAAATTTTTATATTTTTTTTTGCGATTATGTGTAAAATAATATTTTAATATTTGTTTATTTGATTTAATTTTTGCTCAAAACATAAAATTTTAAAACATGATTTTTTTATATTTTTTATTTTTAAATTTTTTGAAGATAATTTTCGGAGTTTTTTTCATGTTCCTTCTCATTCTTGGTTTTAACTGTCATGAATCATAACTTATGATAAACTATATTTGAAATAGTGGATCGCCTTAAGCGCATGAGTACTAGAATTCTAGTCATAATGGCCTTATGCATACACGTCAAATGTAGTTGTATTGAACTCCGAGGGTAATATATAGAGAAACTAGACGTAATATTTTAGAAATAATGTCCAAGCAAACGATGCAAACAAATATTTGCACACAACTAGCTTAGCATGCGATATAAACAATTGTTAGGCTAAACAAACATGAATACATACCGAATTCACATTATAATATATCCATTGAATTGGTAGCTCTTTAAAAAATGGACTAAGCCGACATTAAGTTATTCAATATTCTTCCATTTACATAAGCTATGTAGGTTTTATTGAAAGTCTGTTTAAAAAGCTATTTTAAGAACAATAATTATGGCTAAGTATTGAAGCAAAATACCGAATCTAAAAAAATGCATTGAAATAGGTACCTATAGAAGTTTATCCTTTTAAAAATAGTTATTTTTTGTCATCACCGAATAAAAACACTATAGGTAAGTAAGATAAAATATTTTAGATAGGTCGTTAACCAACAAAACTATTCAAGTTATTTAAATGAACAGTGCGGATAATCATATTATGATAGGTAGTTAAAGTAAAAATATAGTAAAGATAAAAATTATTTGGTCGGAGATATTGTTGAAAATACCATAATAAATCAAATGTTCCGCTATTAAGGGGTGTTATCTATTAGAAGGGTTATTTTTCTGGGAGGTACTTTTTCCTTAAAAAATACTGTTTTCTGGATTTACTGTTTAACATTCATAACGAAAATTTGATTTAAATTTACAATAATTTATATAGTTCGTATCATTGGACCAACATATTTTTGTTTAGTTAAGATTTTTAGAAGTGTTAAAATGCAGGGTTTCTCGAAGTTTGATATAACTTAGCATATTCAACAGTACCGATATACATGATAAGTCCCAAAAACGGAAAATGAAGATTAACGGCTTAATTAAGTGATTTTAAGAACGCCGAGTGTAGTACCTAATAGGAGAATGTTGAAGGTAACAAGTTCAATTTGGTTAAATTAACAGAATCGTAAATGCTAAAACGAAAACAAACGTACAACAATGAACCAAGAAAATTATAGGTCAATAGCATATTTGTTTGATGACGACAATTTTTAAATATTTCTAATGAATCGAAATTGAAAATTGGTCCATGTGAGATATTTGGGACCTTACAATTATTCGGAAGGAGAAATCATGACCAATTATTCAGACATAATCGTCAGTAATCGTCTATATAATGTGTAAGTATTTCCATTATGTTATAATGGCGTCGTGTGCCTAACGTTTCCATGGAAATACTAAAATAGCTAAAAACACATGAAAATTTTAATTTTTAATTTTTCAATATCTGCAGATACGATTAATGATTATTTTAAAGAATAATTTTTGGATATTATTAAAAGCACATCATAATTTGGAACTTTTAATTTGCATACAATATTCAATTAGTAATATTTATAGACATTTATCAAAAATAAACTATAATGACAAACATCAAAAGTGTGATCACACAATATATTATAAAATGTTTTTTCATAGTTCAAATTATGATTATTCATAATATATGTACTTATAGGTAGGTACATAAAAAGTCTTGACACTTTTATTTTATGATAAGTCTATATGAATAGGTACCTATACTGGAAAAACTAAAATAGACCAATACACATTATTCGTGGTACTACCCAAACTTACCTAACCTAACCTAACCATGTAGAATTAATTTATACCATTTTAGAAACACGAAAACAAGGTTTAGAACCTTTACAGGGCTTCCGGTTATTTGAAGATCCAACCGAACAGATACGCTTAGATATTGCGTGGCGGTCGGCAATATTACAATATACCTACAAGTAATTTTAAACATGTTAGGATATTATTTTTTCTACAATATTACGTGTTAATGACCAACAGAAAACACAAGACCTTGGTTATATGTTATATGTAAAGACAGTAGCTCTAAGTTCTAACCATACGCGTATTCTGTAATGTAATTATATTTGCTAGCATCAAAAACAATATTTATAAAGAATGAACTTTTAGTGTTAGAAAAAGAAATGAAAGCGTTATTTTAACGTTGTTACTATTCTCAAAGACTCTTAAGACTTATATTATATGGTATAAAATGGAAAATAAAATATGAAATTCCAATGAAAATAAAAATTTTTCTTACCTACTTTAAATCAATTGCATTATCCACATTTTTGAGATGTGTATAATGTATATAGGTACAATAATAGAATTGTGGAAAATATAAAAAATAAAAGCAAATGCCATACTTTGTTTATAATAATATGCATGTCAGTAGTATAATATAATAATTTCAGTTAGTTGTAACCCCTTAGGTTTTAATACTAAAAAATGCGTGGGTTTTTTCATAATGGATGATTTATTATGTAAATGATTTAATTTTTTTTCACTTGTCTGTCGATTGTGTTTTAATGTCAGTTAGAACCCTAAAATTACAGTACGGGTGTATTAGTCAAGGATTGCCGTATGGTCAATGTAGTCAGCAACGCACATTATAGTGACAAAGGCGAGACCCAACAACATTCCACCTCTTGTGTACATTGAAGGGGATAAATTCGAAAGCACTTTTTAATTTCACGGTTTGGCTACAATATTTCAATAATAATATACACAAGTAATTTTTTTCTTTATAGCGAGAATATGACAAATTATACAAAAATTCTTCGAGTTTCAGTGGAGCGGTAGCGACTATAATCTTTATTGTATGCTGATGCAAATTAGATTGTTTTTTTTTATTTATGTATACCATATTCAGTAATACCATTTAATTTTTAGTTTTTTTGTTTTTTTTTTTAGGATCAGGAGAAACATGAAACATACCAAAATATTAATTTAACGCTCAAACAATAATTATTATGCTCAATTTCTTTTATTCTATTTCAATAACAAAATTTAAATATAGAATTCTAAATATTAACAGCATATAATAATTGATGGAATTGCGATATCAAAAAAAATATATTTACAGAAAAGTCATGTTTTATAAATCGTAGTAAGAAGACATCACATTTACGAATAATATATAGGTACTTTTCGTTATAATGTAATTATTATTAGTACTTTATTTTATTAAAAAAAATTCTTCAGATGTGATAAATTAAAAATGATGAGTGTTTTTTTTTCTGAAGAAAGCTATACTAATAATCCAGCTTACAAGGCGTATATATTTTATACTAATGTATGAATAACAAAACTTCGTTCTTTGAAAATAAATAGTCACATTTAGAAACATTGAGCTTTATAATATTTTCATTGATCGTATAATTTTATTTTAAAACTAATTTTGAACTTTAAATTTGTGGATTCAAATCATAACCGAAGTCTTAATATCTATTTTTATTTTATTCTAGGTTGAATAATATATATTTTATGGTTACCTACTTATATATTTTAATAATACAAAAAATATAACAATAATACCTACAAACAATAACATTCAACATTTAAGGCTGTTGGAGCACACCGTATTTTTTGTAGTTTTAGACCAATAAGCAGAAGATTAGTTTATGTACTTCCCGATGTCCAATTATTATTTTAAAAATATATATGAACCTTTTCTAGGTTATGTAGGAAACAGATTTTTGATTTTTGTATTCAATAAGGCTTAACGAGTATGTTAAAATTTAAAAAAATGATGAAAATATTTTTATTTTATACATTTATATTCAGTTTTAAAACATCAATTATTTTTCCTACATAACCTAGTAAAGGGGGTGATGAGTTCATACATATTTTTAAAATAATAATCGGACATTGGGATAAACTAATCTTCCGCTTATAGCTATTTTATACCGATTTTAACTGTTCTTTTACGATAACACGATAATGGATTACACCCACTAAGGTTCATTTACTAATCACACAATGAAAAATAATTGCCAATAATATTTTTGCACAATTTCCTAAATTTTACTACTTAAAATATTCTATGCTCCAACAGCCTAAATGCCCCCAGTCTTAGTGTGCTTTATGTAAAAACGGTACAACAGATGCAACTATTTTTAAATTTCTTAAAAAAGTTGATTTCATATAATTCATATCCACGTATTTAAGTTATCGTAAATAATATATCATAAATTGTTATATTCGCATAGGGATATGAAGTTATATTTCAACCAAATTTTGAATATAAATATAGGGACATATTTTATCTATTTTGTATTACAAAATTAAGACAATCAAGTAGGTATTAAAAGCATAAAGAACACACAGTTAAATAAATGTTAACTGAATATTAATGTTTGAACCTATCAGCCAAAGAAACATAATGTATAGTATATTATAATATTAATATATTATATATCTACACATTATTATAAATTACATTCTTATTTAAACTTTTAAAAGCTGTTTAAATTAGGTTATACGGTTATTAGTCATTAATGAATATATTATATAATATATAAAAAAATGTTTAAATCATTTTATCTAACATAAACTATAGCAGTAACTAATAAAATTTGCATTAACTGTAGTAAAATTACCATTTTAAAGAATAATCAAATTAAATAAATAATTTTGGAAGTACAATAGTAGGTACAATAGGTTTTGAGATTTTTAACACGTTTCATACTTTTAATAAATAAAAGATACTTAGAAACCAACTCGGATCGTGCTAATATTTTATGGAAGGGTTTTGCTTTAT